ATTTTTCTGTATTAACTTAACTTAACGAGTTAAAATAATTAGTTAACTTGCCCAGCCTTGGTAATCAGGATAACAATAAAGAAAATAATTATTAATAAATTGTATTGTACCTAGAAATTCCACAATACGATTCGGAGGTGGTGATTTCTGATCAAAATTTTTTTTGTTTTTTAATGACAAATCCAAAACACTTTAGTTTTCCGAACTTTTTGGGATAGAATATTGTAAACTACTTATTGTTGACACTGAGTCAGCAATATCTGTAAAAAAAAAAAATTATTTTACTTAACATCAACCTAATAATTTGATATAAGACTTATTATTTTCAGSAGCCTAATCTATTAATCTTGGAGAAGGTGATTTTCTACTACCTAGTATAAGAGTGATATGTCAACTTTTTTTAAGTTAAATTATTTTCTTAAATTATATTTTCATTCATTTAATATAATGTATTTATGTTAAATGTTTAACATGCATTTTGTTAATTATTATTGTTTTATTTTTAATGACCCGAAAAAATGCAATTTTGAAATAATGTTAGCATTAATGTTAGCTCTTCGATTACCACGACTTCAGCATTTTTGGACACAACACGTTCTAGGTATTTTTAACAAAATATAATTTTTCAAACTTTATAAATATATAATATGATATTAAATACAAATAAATTATACTTAAAACTTTCATGTGTAGAAAGTAAATATTCTGTTCACCTAGTATAACATTTATAACAAGTATTGACAGGTATGTACAGGAGTTAACATATTATGTATAGTGATTAAACTCCACAACTATTTTCTATGAAAAAAAATGTAGGCAAATAACAAATAATAATAGTTTTATTGTATAAATAATACATATTATTTATAGGTAATAATATATTATATAATATGTTTAAGAACAACAGACTGGTTTTAACAAATAATTCATTTATTGTTTAAAATTTTAAATCATGCATTTAAAGAATTTATACTACATAAATATTTATTCAAAAAAACGTATTTTTTGAAAATATACAATCATAATTTATTGTGACAAAATAACAAAAATMAATATCGATGACAAAAATAAATTACATTTAAAATATTTTAAACAAGAATTTAAATTTTGGTGGGATTTTGGCATGCGTTTGGCCTACTCAAAATGGCGGATAATAACTTCACATCATATCACTAATTAGCAATCTAGTTTATTATCTATATCTGTGGCATGTTTCCGACTCTATGGTTCCGACTGTCATCACATTTTTCTGTGATATTGATAATATACATTTTTTTTAAATTAATCAATATATTAAGGGCCAGTTGTACCGTCTACGGTTAAACTTCGATTATGCCAAAGCATAGACACTGTGTGTAATTKCAAAATCTAGTGACTGTGGCCTTGAACACGGTCTCTAGGAGGGCGTGGCATGCATTATCACTTAAATAAATCATATCATTATTATCACACAAAAAGAGACAGAACTGATATAGTGTTTTGTAATGCCCATTGGCCATTRCGTTGTTTGGTTGTTTCCGTTTTTATAATTCCGTAACTAAGAGGGATACACGTTGTTAACATTTTTTCAGATTACAGGTACGGTACAATTTCCAATATTTCAACTGTTCTATGCTTCAACCGTAGGGATACAGTAATCCGATCAGCTGATCGAGTGTCTATTCTGTGATTATGCTTAATCAGCTGGTAACAGATATTAACCGTGCAAATTCGGCCGATTAAACTCCGGTTAACTTTAATCAGATATGGTACAACTAC